TGATACAGATTAATATTCCACTATTTATTTGTATAGATGACTAATTTCTGAAGAATTATAAATCATATGGCATAACATTTAAAAAATCATTAGATTAATATTCCAGAGAACTTTTATTACATATTTGCTTTCTGAAACAATTGAAGAAGTATGCAAATATAAGGAATGAATTTGATATAAACACTTCCAGGCTGAAAAATATGTAATTCTTTATTTAATATGCATATCTTCAGAGTGTCTATAATGGTCTTTGGGTGATTCAAGTGATTATTAATGTGAAAGTGTTAAAATCATTGGAAGGCATTTTTTTAAGTAGATGGAATTAATACTTATTTTAATATACATAGGTTAAAAACTTATTGAGAAATTACTCTTACAGTGATGTATCTATCTGTTCATCTATCCATAATTTAATGCACAGGGATACATAGTGTCAGGAACAAAATAAGTTTGAAGTAGCAGAGTGATAATGAAATATCTGTTGCATTAATGTAATCTGTGGCTTGAGAATTATAATTGACAAAATATACACTCACTCTGAAAATTTTTCTTCAACCTAGATATACATTGTAAAATCATCTGATTACCCATGGTTGATATGATTGATTTAATCTTTTTCATCTATTTCATTTCAGTATTTGAGAATATCTGTGGCCTTAAATTGTAATTGACACTTCACATTTTGTATTTAAAAATGTTCATATATCAAAAATACTAGGAAGTATGAAGAGTCATAAAATGTTATTCATGTCATGATGGAGAAGTTATTGTAATACTTATTTCATGATTGTTACCTTTTGGGGTCAATTTTATCTAAAACCAATAAAAGTCTTGCAAATATTGTTTCTTCCATTGCAAAACATCCCATACATACGAATATTTACTGAATTTGTGATTTGTTAAATTTAATTTAAAATAATTATCACAATTCTATCTACAGTGTTTTATTTAAACTTAAATTCTTGATTTATGTTTCAGTAATCATTGGTATGCATGATAAAAGATCATCAAAGGGAATATGGTCTGGAAAAGTAGAAATAAAATTTCCATTCTTAAGTATTTTGTCATGAAATTATCACAGAATGTTAATGCTAAAAATTAAAATAGATTCATGCATTTTAACTTCATTCTTTAGTTCGATTACACATAACTGATTTTATGTATAGATAAATTAATTTCCCATAAAGCTTGGAGGAATTATATTTTTTGTTCCAACAGTAACTAGACTGCAGCCTTTTATACTGCCTACCACTCAGGCATTACAAGGAAAGCTGGAAATTATTCTGTCTTGATAGATTACTGGAAGGAAGATCTTATTGAAATTGTCAATGACAAACCCAAAAAGAATTATTTTTTTGTAGTCTATTATCTAAGTTCCTTAACCAAACCTGGTAAATGTTTCTGTTTATTTTCAAGATGCATTAACTATTTTAGCACTTGCATAGAATGCTGCTAGTAATATATCTAGGCTGAAGGATGTTTCATATATATTAAATCTTTGAAATAAAAGGTACAGTTTCTCTTTAATAACTAAGTAGATATACAAATTATTTAGCACTTAACCTAACTTGGATTTGTAAGTGCTGATTTTTTTTTTATGTGGAATGTTCTTTTTCACTCCAGAAAATAATATTTTGTAATTGTGAATGTATAAATTCCTGCTAATACACTATGTTAATTTTATAAAATGGAAATGCTCAACTTTTTGGTAAACATGTTATGAGAACAAAGTGATGGATTTTTAGATCCAGAATTAATACAAACAATTTGTTTTTATAAATTCAACTCCTGATTTTATCACTTTTTGTAACCAGTTATCAACAAGATCTTCCAATGGCTGGTTTATTAGATTGTTCATTTTTATAGGTGTTTATATATTCAATTTTTTGAAGAGACTAGGATGGAAATACACAGCTAACATATGTTTAGGTAATTTAATTAAAGGAATGTTTCAATATCAGATTTAATACAGTTTGAAAGCAAAAAATCCAATCCTTATATTTTAGTGAGTGAATAACATAATGAAAAACTATCATAATAACTCAATTTTTAAAATCCACTTTTTTGTTTAGACATTCAAAAAATAATCAGAATATTGATATTTGGCAATATATAATACTTCCTGCAAAGGGTACTGAAATCAGTACATATTTATGAAAACTAAAATTTTAATGGGGATGTTATTAAAGTTAAAAAATTTCACATAATGATTCTTATAATCTTTAACTGTTTTTTGTTATTTTATTTTAGAGAAAGAATAAAACTAAATCAGAGGAGAACTAGTCTAATATAAATACCATCAGAACTGCAGACTTTGTCCAGAAATTTATTTTTAATTATAATCTCAAACACTAATCAAAATTAGTTTGATGCCAGTAGTACAAAGTGGACTTAAGACATAATGATATCTGGAATTACTATACTCATTTTTATTTTGAATGGATACTTCTAAATATTACATTCTCTTTGATGTTGCTTTAATAAAATAGTTATTTTGTAAAACTTATAATTATGGTTACTGAAAGATAAGTTACATGTATTTTTAAGTCAGTGTGTTATACATTTAAGTGTGTTATATATTAAGAATTTATAAAGAAACATTTTACTTTTGACTTCTAAAAGTTTCACATTGGAGCATCATTTAGAATTAGCAAACATCAGATAGAACCTTTGTATTACTAGGGTAAGCAACATTCAAACTTTATTCCACCGAGAATAAATGGCAGGTATCTGTTAAATAAAGGGCACTTTAGAAGCCTAGTGGAAATCGTGTAAGAGTGCATGTAAGAAAGAGACAGAGTACCTTTTAATTTGTCCTTTTTTATCTTAGAACTTAATTTGCTAACAGTGCTGTTTAACTGTTACTGGTAAACAAAATCATTTGTGACCTACCTCACAATTAATAGCCACACACAAGCAATTAAGGAAAAGTAGCCTATATTATGGAGAAAATTATAAGTTTGGAAATTTTGCTTTAGCCAGGTGTGGTGGCACACTTCTGTAATCCCAATGGCTCAGGAGGCTGAGGAAGGAGGATTGAAAGTTCAAAACCAGCCTTAGTAAAAACAAGGTCAGTGAGACCCTGTGTCTATTAAAATACTAAATAGGGCTAGGGATGTGGCTTAGTGGTTGTGTGCCCCTGAGTTCAATCCCTCATATCCCCGTGCCCCCCACCAAAAAAAATGAAATTTTACTTTAGTTCAGACCACAACCGGTCAATCTGGTTTCCTCTTGTGGAAAGTACAAAGTATAGTGGCTGAGTTTGCAGCTGAGAAGCCAGAGGAAGGCTTGCTTACCTACGCTATAAGAGCAGAGGACATTTGGCCACATTTGTAATTTCAGTGTTTCAAACACTAGCTGCATTGAAATAATCACCTGGGCTGCTTATTAAATATATATTTCTGGACCAAGACAAACCTGCTGAGTTAGAATTCTCAAAGCAGAGGCCTGGTAATCTGTATTTCCCCTACTGCAGCCTCATGATCAGGTCAACTGGGCAAACTTGGTAGTAATGCTGTCTCATTTGGCAGAGATGCCAGTCAAAATTAAAGCCTTCAGTTACCATCTCGTTTTTATTGAGTTGCTAGTGTGTAGTCAGTGTAGTGGGCACTGGAGATACACAGATAACACATGAATCCTAACCATCTAGTTTGTAGTGCTCTGTTAAAACAGTTGCTGTAGCCTGTAAGAGCTGCTGCCTTTGATTGCAGGGTAATATATATTGATACATCACCCTAAAACCTGGGACCCCAAAATAATCTATCTCCAGGCAAAATAAGAACACAAGAGATTGTTTTATCATATATTTGTATTCTTCATAAAAATGTGTTTTTTGAATGTCTTGTTTTGGTGAGTATCATGTGGTATATTCATGATACAGCTACTTTATTAGCAGCTCTCCCTGAACCTCTGTTTTTTATTCTTTCATTTTATTTTATTTTTTACTGTTCTTCATTTCCTTTTATAATATACTTAAACAGAAATTTGCTTCCCAAATTATTTTGTGGTCTTTTACAGCCTCATAAAATAACTATGAGATTGGGGCTAAGGGAAATCATTTTATTGAATATATTCTTAATTAATTATGATTTGATACAGTCTAGTATCATTGCTTAGGCTAATTATAATATATAATTATTGGTATAGCCAATGCTTAATGCTATAATTTGAAACACTATTTTAACTTCCTGATTATTCTAATCTCCCATTTTTAGATTTTTTTTCTTTAATTTGTAGCTAAATTATTCTTTTTTTTTCCCTCCTGAGGAAAAACTGATTTGAGAGCATCAGTTAAGTAAAAAAAAGAAATTATCCCACAGTGAAGTCTTTGAAGATAAGATGATAAAAACAACAGAATATACCTAATAAGGGGTCACAATTATTTACTATCATCAAATAATGTCACTCATGGTTTTCCCACTGTTCAATGAGGTGTGATAATTTGCAGGTAGTCTAATAATGAGAGGTTTTACTTTTTAGTTTGAGCATGTTAAAAGGTCTGAGGATTGTTAGGTTTTCCTTTGGAGTTTAGCTTCTCTTTGTACCAACTAGTGTGTAATCTACTAGCTTTCATTCTGGGAAAATAAAAGATGATGAAAGTACAGAAATATAGTGGGTTGGAATTCAAGTATTTAATGTTATCATCTTTTGTAAACAATGAACTCAGGTTATGAAATACATTTATTATTAGTGGGTTATGAATGACTAGAGGAAATAGTAAGAAACTGCCTTTATATGTAACTTGTTTTTAGTTCTGTACTTTTTATCAGACTTTGATTCTAGGAAACATGTCAGTATGAATCTTGTATGTTGCACGTAATGACCATGGTTGTCCAGCCATTATCCTTGGAAAATTAAAGTTGGTTTAGTAGATTGAGAATTATGGTAGATCCTTAAATTAGTTATGGTACATTAAATTCATTTACTGTCTGGAGCAAATGGATGAACAGTTTTAAAATGAATATTAAATCTTTTCATCTTTTACCTTTGCTGTGTTACAGAAACCCTTGAAACTCTCATCAGACAAGCAGAAAATTATACCAGTATACTTTTTTGCAACACCTACAGAAACATGGCCTTAGAGGCTGCTACTGCAGTTCAGGAGTTCTTCACCGATGTAGGGCTCTACTTATTTGGTGTGGATGTTAATCCCGAAGAATTTGTAAATAGGTTTTTCGACAGTCTTTTTCCTCTGGTCTACAACCATCTCATTAATCCCAGTGTGACTGACAGCTCCTTGGAATACTCGGAATGCATCCGCATGGCCCGCCGGGATGTTAGTCCATTTGGTAACATTCCCAAAAGAGTAATGGGGCAGATGGGAAGATCTCTGCTGCCCAGCCGCACATTTCTGCAGGCCCTCAATCTGGGCATTGAAGTCATCAACACCACTGACCATCTTCATTTCTCCAAAGAGTGCAGCAGAGCCCTCCTAAGGATGCAGTACTGCCCTCATTGCCAGGGCCTGACTCTCAGTAAGCCCTGTATGGGATACTGCCTCAATGTTGCCAGGGGCTGCCTGGCCCACATGGTAGAGCTTAATCCACATTGGCATGCATATATCCAGTCCTTGGAAGAGCTTTCAAATGCAATGCATGGAACCTATGATGTTGAACACGTGCTCCTGAACTTCCATTTGCTTGTAAATGACGCTGTGATTCAGGCTTACCTCAATGGACAAAAACTAGCAGAACAGGTAAGCAGTCATGCCATGCCTCCTGTCTCATTTCTCAAACATTAACCAGAACATCATAAATTTAGTTGATTTAGCATATCATTATGCAGTTTAAAACAATGGCAGTTTAACAAGTATATACTTTAGGAAATAGTAGGAGGATGCATGGGGTTGACATATTTGATTCGGTATATTATATTTTATATAACATCTCAAAATGTTGATTGGTAAAAGTACCACTTTTTTTCCTAAGCATTAACAGCCTTATCAAAAGTTTAGTTTATTGAAGTGGCAAAAACTCAGGTTCTGAATTAAGAACAGCATAGATTTGAATCTGCAATCAGCAATAATTACCTTCATGAAATTAGGCAAATCTCTTATGCTTTTTGACCCTCAATCCTTATTGATAAATATGAAATAGTAATACATAATTTCTGAAATATTCTTCTTTGGAGATAAGTGTTTTCCTGGTATAGTATCTACTACTGAACAAATGGGTAGTTATTGTTAGAATTTCAGAGGTATTCATCTATACTGTAGAAAACATCAGTTGTGTATCCATGAAAGTAAGACTTGATATCCATGTGTTCAAAGTGTTTCTTTAAAGCCTCTTCAGGATCTGTCAAAGTGATAGTGTGATGATTTTTTAAAATGTGGCAAATGTGGCATATATACTGTCATGCTGTTTTATTTCTAGTAGACTTGAGAATTTTTTGAAACAGAATCATCAGATCAAGGGATGTAAGAGTTTTCTCTTTCTCCCACATCCATAGAATCATATTCTTAAATATTCATAGTCTTCCTTAGTAATGGTTCTCACGTCCCATACAATAAAGAGGACATGTTGCTAGTGGTTTCTCCTAAATCTTTTCCCCTAAAATGATATTATACTCCCTAGTACCAAGAAAAAAGTGTTTCCCTACCCTGGTACTGATTTACTGAATTAATAAACATTCTCATCATGAGCTCTATTTCTCTGTTCTTTTAATTTCTGATAGAAATTGGACTTGAAAAGCTTTGTGTTTAACTGCTTCCTTCCCTTGTTTTCCTAACTCTCAGGTCTGTAGGGCCTGCATGAGCCTACATGATACCTTTCTGCACATTAGAGCTGGCACCATCTAGGTGGATGCAGCAGGTGATGTGGTAGAGTGAGCTGGATTTCGTATGCTCCCTACTCCATGCAGCTGGGTTACCCTATCCAATGAACAGGATTCCTAACTTCTTGTAATAGTCAGGTCGCTTCATCCTTTCTCATCGCTTATGAAAATCAAACATGAGCCAGAACCTCTAGAAGGGATTTAAAATGGAGGTACAAATGAATCCTGAGATTTCAAGTATTTCCTAGTTAGGGGAAATAAGCATTTAAATGCAGGGAATAAAATGTCCATATTGGGATATCAAGTATCTTCACAAGGGAAAATAAGCATAAGAAATCTAAGTCCAGATTTAGATCATTAATTTGGGGTATGGCATTTAAAGTTTTATGTCAGAGCATATTTATATGTTTTATGTCAGATATATATATATATATATATATGTATGTGTGTATATATATATTTCTCTCTCTCTCTCTCTCTCTCTCTCTCTCTCTCTCTCTCTCTATATATATATATATATATATATATATATATATATATATATATATCCTCTTTGTTATTTTGACCTTAGAAAGACTTTTTGAATTCTTAAAATTCGTAACATTAAAAATGATATCTTTTTCCTATTATAGAGGCTATGTCACAAAGGATTATAGTAGATAGGCATGTTTTCACATACTTTGTTTTCTTCCTATTTGTGATCGGGGTAAGCTACTAAAACTGTTGGAGCCTGTTTTGTCCTGTGTGAAAGGCTGGGAGGAAGTAGTGGTTTAAGTGGGGCCAGCCCTGCACAGATCATGGTGAAGCAGTTTATTTTAGTATCTCAAAATATTAGAATCAAGTATGGGCTTTATAAATAAGTTTTGCATAGAATTTTTATCACATGAAACTTTTTGGTGGATTTTCAAAGAGCACTCTTTTTTTTAAAGCAAATAGTCTGATTTCATATAATAAATAGTCTGATGATTATCTTGAAAAACATCAATCATTACTAATAAATTGTAGATTCTTTTCTAAGTAAAACAACTGAAATCTTTTTTACTTATGGGGAAAGAAAAATAAACTAACTATAAGTTCCTTGAAAATTGACTCATTAATATTTATTTATGCCAACTTCAAAGTGATTTATAAGCTGTTTATCAAGCTTTGATAACCAGTTCACACATCAATGAATCTAACAAATTCAAAGTAAATTACGGAAGAGCCAGCAAATAATGACTTTCTCACATTCCCAAAGCAATCTGTGAGATCAACTACTTCCAAGTCTAGTTCTCAGTAAATACATATTTCCACTTTAAGAAATCCATAGAGGTAACCTGATATATCATATGTATGTTGGATGAATTTCAACTGGAAAAAAAATGTTCTCAGTTTCTTGAGAAAGTTGTATCTTATATTTGGAAAAATCTTCTAAGAAACAAAAGCCAATTTATGAGAGACTGTGTGTTAATTTTATAGTTATAATTTTATAGTCAGAAACTACTTAACTTTGTGTTCCCATTCCCCAAGTACCTGTTTAAAAAAAAAAAAAAAAAAACTTAGGGAAGGGAAAGTTGATTTTGGTTCATTGTTTCAGATCCTGGTGGTCCAATTCCATTGCTCTGGACCCAAGTTGAGGCACAATATCATGATAAAGGGTGTGGTTAAAGAGTGCTGCTCCATTTGTGGTGAACAAGAAGCAGAGAGAGGCAAAGAGAGGGAAGGGGAAAGGGGCCTCAGGGAAGAGACATCCTTCCAGGTCAGGTCACCAGTGATCCAGTTCTTCCAGCCATGCTTCACCTGCAATGTTACCCCCAATCTATTCAAAGTAGGATAGAACGATTAGTTACAGCTCTCACAGTCCAGTCATTTCACCTCCAAATATTCCTGCATTAGCACAGAAGCTTTTGGGGGACACCTTATATATAAATCTATAACAAAAACAATGTCAGAAAAAAGTAGGGATTAAAAGTACAGGTTATAGTGTCAGGATGGATTTCACATCTCTCTGTACTACTTACTAGCTGTGAGTTTGGCTATCTCAGTATTTATTCTCTTAGCTTTGATTTCCTCTTTGGTTAAGAACAGTTACATTATAGATTTCTTGTGAGAATAAAATGAGCTTTCATGTTCAGATCAGTTTCTCATGCATAATGTTTAAATCCTATAATTATTATTATACTCTTTATAAACGCTTTATTGATTTTTTGGTATTATAAATGCTCTAAAAGTAAATATTCCTTTTTTAGGAGTACAGAGCTTGAAAGAAATATCAATGATATAGAGCTCAAAAAATATCTGTATTTTTTAATGATCTGTTTAAGTGATTATAAGCAAATGATTGTAAAGATTTTTCTTGAATGAGAAAATACTGGAGTATTTAAAAATATTATTTTTTTACATACAGATCATTCTCTTGCTAATCATTTATTAATTTTATAAATAAATTATTTTTGAAATTATATTTTTATTATACTTTTTATTAATTATACTTTTTATTAATACATTTAGTATGACATTTGTTATAATTTAGCAACTTATTAAAGGCACAGGAACACAGAATTGGTATTAATTTCAGTGTTTCAACATATTCTAAATGAAACAGATATTATGAGGAAACTACTGAATACTAAATCTAAATAATTTCAGAAAATCTGTAGTAGGATAAGAAACATAATTTCCAAAAAGAAATATCTAGCTCTATTTTTTGTTTAATTTATTTTCATCTCTTTTACCTATGCAGTATTAGTAGACATTCAACTTGTTGCATCCAGATTACCTTAGAATCAGTTTCAGTATATGATTCACTTTAAAATAATCAATCTTATCAAAATTGAGTGAAAGATTGTGCACACTAATGAACTTTAATTAGCTGTTAAAAAATTGAATATCTCATCATTTCCTCTATCTGTACAAACATTTATCTAAATATCTAAAAATTATAGTAAATATTCTTGTTTTTTTATATAAAAATTAAAGGAAAAAATAAAAAATAAACTTTAGATTAATTAGGGCACAGCACATATTTTTTTCTGATTTCTACAATGTTGTATACACGTTCCTAAAATATCCCTGTGTGAGGGATTTTTTTCAAAAATTTTGCTTATGGAACAAATAAGATTGGGGGAAAATAGTTGAAATCTCAGTTTTCAAAATAACCCAATTAAATGTAATGCCATTGCAGTTTTAGATGGTTTAAATTGGTTATCTTAAACATCATATTCTTTAATAAATATCTCACTTGAACTTAACAATTATGGGGTTTCCCTAGTGACAGTCAAAGTAGTGCAGTGTGGGGCTTTTGAATAATGAAGATGTAGTAGAGCCTATCTGTGTTTGCAGGCTGAGACATTTTCTCAGTCATAAAGCTGGTAATCCATTCCCCCTAGTGATCTGATGCTCACTTATACACAAACATATGCAAATTATCACATATAATTGTAAGAAATTTACAGCTTATTCTGTGAGGCCACAGGCAGAAGTATAAGGATCCCTGGGTTAAAGAAAGGACATCTTTATTCTTAGGGCGAAATAAACCAATAGTAGAGTTAGTTCCTTCCATCTTAGACTAGCATTTAATTTCAAAATTGAGTGTAAGGTGGATTGTGCACACTAATGAATGTCTGCAATTATTTTGAAATTTACATTGGATATATAGTATGTAGTGTGTTCTTTTGGCCATGCTATATATTGGAATTCACACACACACACAAACATACACAGACACACACACAAACACATACAAATGCATATGCACATACATAAAGAGGCAGGATCAAAATGAACGAAGTAAGTAGAATCTCTAGGATACTCCAGGATCTATGCTAAATAAAAAGCTGAGAAGATATTATTTATGAAACAAATTTTTAAGAGCTCTCATTTATGTATTTATTGAAGTACATATTTGTACTTGACTGCTATAAAGTAGAAGATGGTGATTCGAGG